TATTTTTCATTACCTTGTCTTTGTGGATGTGAATATAAAAATCTATATCAACTTATTTATCCACCTTATATTTATGGAGTTCTCCCGTCAATTTTGCCATTGTGGCTTGTCATCCTCTAGTACGATATTTTTTATCATAGTCGTTTCCTTAACACTGCAGAAGCCTCGTTTGATTCCTTGTACGCATTGGTCAAGCCCTCGTTCATACCCGGGTGGTCAAAACTTTTTCTAATTGCTTATTTCAATGCTTTCCAAATAGCTAGATGTTTTTCCTTCCAGTTTTCTCTTACAACAGACTAATCCCTCAACTCAAAGTATAATTAGTAAATTCCTATATAATAACTCATACATTTTTTTTTTCGTCATTGTATCCAAAACAATCAAATACATGATCTATCTTGTGCTCCCAATCTAGGAATGTGTCGAAATCAAAACAACTATTGAAATTAGGGATGCACGCAATGGCTCATGTTGTCGGGATCTACATTTGGATGCTTCCCACTTTACATCAAAATAAGGGGACATATATTTAATAAGGGATTCATCTATGAGACTCTAGTGCATATCATGGGCAATGGAACTCTTGTGGTTCAACTTTAGGTCCGGATTGTGAGCCTACAGAAAGATATGCAGTTAGTATAACCAATTTTTGGTGTATTTTGATAAATTTTTTATTGATCGTTTTTGTTAGTGTTGCATTAACGACATCGTAGATGAATTTTGATTTCATGAAAATTTATTATCTTTCTTCTCCTCCTCACATGATTATACATAAAAATATATATATATATACATATAGTATGTTAGAAAAAAAAATAAAAAATTAGGACAACCTTACTTGAGTTTCTCCTCTCGGATAATAATTATTATAGGATGTATCACATTAAAAAAATTCACTTTGTTCTCAATTCGTGTATCATTCAATATGTAGGTATTCTCATTAATATGCTTTTCTGCTCTCAATCTTAAAAACTTTTAGAGAAAATTTTTTGTTTTAGGCTTCAAATACAAAGAAATAGAAAATAAATAAGAATGAATATGAAAATATTAAGAAAAATTAAAAATAATAATATGAAAAATGGGTGAAAATGAATAATAATGAATATAAAAAATATTAGAAAAGAAAATATAGAAAATATAAAGTATGATAAGAATATAGATAGAAATATTATAAAAACAAATAAGTAAGTAAAATATTCTCAAGTCAATCGTCAACTTTTTTATTTCAATTTTTTTATCAACTTTTTTCTTTTATTTTCATTTTATTTGTCGAATTTCATTTTGGATTTTTTCTCCTTTTTCCAGACTCTTTTTTAAACTTTTTAAAAATAATTAATTCAGATTCGTGATGACAATTATAAGATTGTATTAGTTAGTTCTGATACCAAATGATGTGAACGTAATCTAATGACTTGAAAGCTTGCAAACCACGGGAATAAAGATTTATAAGGCTTTGGAATTTGTTGGAAGAATAAATATAAAAATCATATAGATAGAAATATATTCTAACTTCTCGATTCACAATGTTGATCGGATAGGCATCACGTGAGAAACTAAGTAGTACACGATACAAATTTTTTAAATCAAATGAAGTCGACGTGACAAGCAATTTAACACCGATTGAAAGGTGACGAACTATTTCGAATCACTAAAATAATAACTAGATATTGAAAGACTACCCATGATTGAATTTAATAATTTCAAATAAAAAATCACTTTTAAAAGCAATAAAAGTTTATAAAAATAATATTGATAAAGTGTCTTTATAATGATAATCAAAGCCTTTAAAATAGAATTTTTTTAAAAAAAAGGAAAAAAAATTAATAAAAATAAAAATAAAAACTTCTAAATAAGAAAATTAGTTAAGGAAAAACAAATATTACTAGAAAATTCCCAAATAAGGAAATCAAATTATAGGAAACTTAATTTATAAAAAAATAAGAAATATAAAATTTTTGAACTTTTTATAATTATTGATGTTTTTTGTTGGCATTCCCGATATGATTCTTGAGATAGTCTAGGTGTGACTTATTAAGTAGTCTATGAGTCAAGGATAGAGGATATGCAATATTTGATAAATCCGTCTTCAATAATTTCTTCGAAAATTAAGTCCATGAAATATTTGTTATAATCAAGATAGCTTCTTAAACTTTTGGGCTCGACTCCGAATTATTAGTCCCTTAGCAATATTGTTAAATCAATAAACTTCATTACATCAAAACGTCAACATGAGTTGAAGTGTTGAAAATGACAGCAAGTAGCTAAATTAAATTTTTAGTGGCATTATCTAATATTTCCTTAGATGTGAGGATTTTTCATCAACGAACATGATGTCAACTCTCAACGAAAGCATCAAATGTTAGCCCATTTGAGTTGATTAGACTCCACTCAAAATTACAAATAAAACATAAGAAATAAGAAATTTAAGAGAAAAATTGTTCGAATGATTTTACATTCTCAGTTACTTGTATAATACTATATTTGTCCGACTCCAAAGTTTTATTTACTTTTGCATATTGATATTTGAATATTAATTATTATATCAAAATATAGTACAAATTATGAAAAAATTGCAAAAAAATAGAAGGACATTTGTAAAAAAATAATTATACAGAATATTTTTAATGTTAAATACGATGATACAAAAAGGTAAATGTGACATTTAGAGACAGACAGATTTTTTTAACGAAAATAGTGATCAAGCTATTAATCTACTTTATTTTCCAATTCACTCCCAATAATTTAGGAACAAATTGATAAAACTTCCATCATTTATTTTGATTTATTCCAAGGCCACTCCTCCCTCAAACCACTTCTTCAATCTTGATATCGAGAGGATATTCGTCCAATTATTACGGGTCGAGTACCCTAACAAAGCATGGGGTCGGGATCTTGTGTGGGTTTGATGCAAAACAGTTCCTATCAAAATTGTTTAAATTTTAACGGTCCTTTTACTTTATTTTATACTTATTTTTATTGTTTTTTCATTTTTTATTTTAAAATATTAAATCAAATATTTATTATTTTATACTTAAATTTAATTTTATATTCAAAATATGATATTTTTTATTTACAATCAAAAACCAAAATCACTCGTACTAGTATATATAGAATTTCAAATATAAAATAAAGTTGCATAAATATTTTAAATAAAAATAAATAAATATTACACATCATAATTATTATTACTCAATCTATTTTATTTTAATGGACATCATTTTTATTTGTATCTATTAGAGCATTTTACGGTCATTTTTTTCGTTATCTTTATTATTGTCTTTTCAATTTTTATTATAACATAACACATTACTTTTATTAAGAAATACGATTATCAAAATTTATTACTTCTATCAAGAACTAGTTACCTTTAACAAAAATTAAAAAGGAAATTATATACTATCCAATTTTTTTAAAATTTCAAAATTTTTAATTATAAATTTAACATAAATTATCTACAAATATATTTAAAATTTATTAACCAATTCTCACGCTTTATCTGTACTATTCTAAACTTATTTATTGTTTTCTATATTTTCATATTCAATTCAACGAAATGCCTAATAAAAATAATAATAATTTCAATTATTTTTTTAAATCAAATGGTTGGAAATGAAAACTATCCAGGTAAGGGATCAAATCAAACTTCTTTTGATAATCCAAATTTTCAAATACCACTTTTAAATTATATTAATATATTTATTATATATGTTTATATTATACTACGATTTTTTAATGTTATTTTTTATTTATTATACTACGATTTTTTTATGTTATTTTTTATTAATATATTTGTTAATTTATTTCGAATAATTTCAATTATTACAATTTATATAGATTAATATTTAAAATTTAAAATATAATATTATATAAAAATATTATTAGACAATAAAAATATATAGAAATATCTATACATAAATAAATAAATTATTTATATATTGTTTATATATATTACTCCCTTCGTCCCAAAAGATTTGTCTTGTTTTTCCATTTTCGTCCGTCCCAAAACAATTGTCTTGTTTTCTTATTTAGTAGCCGTGATCCCCATTTTATAACAAAATTATTCCTACTTTTTCATACTACTCTTAATTATTACTTTAACATACTCTTTGAAATCCTTCAAAAAACAAGGGTATTTTAGTTATTTATATTCTATTTTATACCCACGGAGGGAGTATTACATAATAAAAATATATAGAAATAAATAAATTGTTGTAAATTTATAAAATAGTAAAGGTAATGAGTTGAAAATGATTTACTATAATGGAGAATAAATAAAATAATCTGAATATTGAAATAAATATGACGTGAATGATAGATAAAAAAAATAAAATAAAGTAAATGTAATGACATGTTCCTATGGACATTTTTCTATTTTAGATAAAATATACTAAATTAAAATATATTTAAGAAACGCATAATATTTAACATCAAGGACCATTTAAAAAAATTATATTTCTATCTTTTAAAAGATAAAATAAAATATGTATCTACATTTAAAATTTCATATTTTTTTATAAAATTAGTTTATATGAACTATAAATATAAATAAACATATTTTTTATTTACTTATATCATAGAAAATGTTATTCTATACCAATTTGCTGTGAAATTTCATTTATCTTTTGTGCTATTGTATTTAACATTAAAAATATTTTTATATAATTTTTTTTACAAGTATTATAAGACACTGATTAGAAGTATTTTTGACATTTTTTTCTTAATTTGTATTACGTTTTTATATAATAATTAATATTTAAATATCAACGCGACAAAATAAATGAGACTGTTAGAACCTGAAGAAAATAATACTTTTTTTTCTATATTATACTATACAAGTTTATTTTACATTTAAAATATCATATCACCTCTACTTATATCTTATTAAACAACTATTAAATTCTAACTTTTTACTATTAAAAAATTTAAAAAAAATAAATAAATCACACAAACAAACACACCCTTTGTGATTATTGTTCATGTACTGCGGAGAAGTAAGGAAACACGTTGGGCCGAAGGAATGCTTATTAACAGCAGACAACGCCCATTGTATTGTGCAGAGTGCATAGGGCAGCAGTTGGCAGTTTCCTCTGGGAACGAACGACGGAGTGAGGTTTCTCCTAACAGTAGCACCGGCGGATATATATTGTACTAGATATGGCGGATGATGACTTACCGCCGCCGATAAGGTTGATGAATTTCGTCTCTGAAGATCAGGTTTTTTTTTTTTTTTTTCTTTTTAATTTCATTTTTATTGTTTCTTCTTCCTTCCTGTTGATAGTTTTGGTCAATTATGGGGTGGGTGTGAATACGCCTAAAATTATTGAGGGTTTCGTTTCAGTTGAAAGAAGCTCGGAAGAGTCGCGGAGCTCGAGTCGAGGATGGTACAGCCCAGAGAGATCGATCCCTTTACGAGGTCTGCCTCTGCCTTCCCTTTATATGCCTTCATTTAGACTTGCTTACTTTCTGTGTTGCTTTAATTTATTGACCAAAGTGTGGAATTGGAACTTGCATTGGATTCTTATTCATACGCCCCTTCCGTTTTCTAGGTTATATTCCTATATCAAAATTGTTGCCTCTGCCTATAAAAATTGAGTGGAGTTCTTTCACCCTATTTGAATTAAAGTAGCTCTTCTACAGAACTCGAAAATCTATTTCATATCTCATGGTTGTCTTTTAATTTGTTGTATAATACAATTCTGCTCCCACATTAGTGCTTGCTTTACTTGCTGAAGTTCTTGAGCCTGGTAATAGTTTATCCGACTAAAATTTAGTGAGCTCCTTCTTCTGTAAATTTTTATTCAACATAACTGATCAAGGCCGCTTTATATAAATGCAGTGCAGCCCCTATTAGTTCCACCCTTGTTTTAACCAGTAGATCCTGTTAGATTACATTTACAAAAAAAATGGCTTCGAAATGTTTTTTGGGTCTCCCATTTCTTCCTTGTATTGCAATGTTTACCCCTATGCTTTTGCATTTCTTTGCACAGCTTAGGAGTACACTCTTGAGCTTTACTTTTTGTTATAAAATCACAGATTCTAAAAGAGAATAAGGATAAGAAAGATGCGGAGTTTAACGAACGCTTCAAACACAGTAAGTTCTTTACTTCCTCAAGTTTATTCGGGCCCTAGGATACTTGTAGAATGACGTCTGAATGGTGTCTTCACTACCATAGTACTATTTTAGTAGTTGAACTCTTTCTATGGATGTATTATGTTCACTATGTCAAGCAATTTGCATGCCAAACTTCAAATGTCATTATTGAATGATCCTTTTGGTAGCCATTTACTAGTTGCTTTAGAGAGAGGCTTGCATTGCAATATACATCAAGTTTATTTTCTTGTAGGACCACCAAAAGCTCTGGATGAAGATGAGACGGAGTTTCTTGATCAATTAGAGATGGTGAGGTTGTTTATGCTATTAAATATCAACATTTTTATAGAAATAAATTAGCACTGGAGTTTAGGTTTCACAAATTGTGCTTTTGGAAACCTGAGCTATATAATCGAGATCTTTCATGATTTTGGTGCATGCATCTTTTATTGACTATGGGCTACATGGTGATTGGTTCCTGGTTTTAGTACTTGCTGTGGGGATAGTTCTGCTATGAGAATAATTTGTTTTTAAATTCTCCCGACAGTCAAAGAAAGAATTTGAGCGGCATTTGGCTGATGAAGAGGAGCAGCAGCTGCGTAGTTTTCAGGTTTATATTCTCTAAGTTTCTCACTTAATCATCAGATGTTAGTGTGGAATGCAAACTCGACATCAGGTGATCATCTCCAATTTTTCACTTTTTAGGCAGCAGTGGCATCACAGTCCAATGTTATACAAGAGCTAAAGGAAGCACCTTCAGTTCAGAAAAATCAGGTGGTTGAACAGGTACATTTATTCTCTTTAATTAATATGTAAGAATTCATTCATTCCGCTGGTCCTTCAATAAAGCAATGCATATTTTCTCCCATATGTTCATCCCTCTTCCTCCTTTCCCTCCAATTTCTAGGAGAAACACATGCATGTGTATGGGCTGGAAGTTGGTGTGAAGGAGGATAGTGGAATTTATTTATATTATATAGTTTTAAGGTTTTTTTTTTTTTTTTTTTTTTTTTTTTTTTTTTTTGTAGCATAGGATAACCGTGCTGAATGTTCTTTCCCAAGTTTGTGATGGCATTAGTTATTTGACCTTTATACACATGGAAATGAATTCTCTTGTAAGTTCTATGCACAAGGTGATCACTTTGAGGTTTGAATGTGCTTGTCTGTCTGTAAGTTCGTCCAAGTAGATTGCACAATCAATATGATAGAACTCCATCAGAACTGATCTTGCAGAATAAAATAATGACACCATATTTGTTAGTTCATCCAACAAAATTTTACAATGTTCTTTGCATTATTTAACTCATTATAACTTGTTCTGCGGTTGTAATCTTCTTATGGTACGGTGTTGTTGGCAGGAAGAATGTTTCAATGTAAGCTTGTAATTGTTCCTAACTAAGATATCATGCGTTGAATAGCCCACTAAAATTTCTGCTTTTACTTTTTGTTCTTCAAGTTTATGGATGAGCCAATTTTGTTTATTTATTTATTAATCTTGATTTTCCATGTGTTTGATTTTAGGTAAATCACACACACACACACACACATATATATTTGTATTTATGGAACCACCAGACCAGATTACTGGAAGCTAGCTCAAAAAATTTATGTTTGGTTATGAGAATGTGCCTTCTCTTTTTGTTGCACAGGACAAAAATTCCTTAGCGGGAAGGAAGAATCCTCCAAGCCGCCATCCTTCTGCGATGGTAATCAAAGTAAAGAAAGCAAAAGTGGAAAGTCCAGAATCACAGGAAACAGCAAGGGTGGAAAAATCAAGTGTCGGGGGCAAGATGGATGAACAAGGGAGAAGTGGGGATCTAGACAAAGGAAATGTTGAGTTGCCTTCAAGGCCTGTAGTTAGTGGGCTGGTTGCATATAGCGATGAAAGTGAGGATGATGAGTGATGTTCAATGTTAAACATTCACTAGGTGTTTTAGGCAATTTTGTGTTTCTGTATCCTCATCATCGAATATAAGGGCCAGCTTTGACCTGTTTTGGGTTGGTTGGTTGGCTGGCTGGCTGGTGCATGATTTGGGATTTGATTGTTGTTATATATTCTTTATAGAAGGCGAAGTTCTTGGCAAATGAACATTAAAACAATTGACTATTATATTTGAGTTTAATGTGTTTCTGTTGTGTTTTTGAAGTGTTCGTGTGAATGAACTAAAGGAAACAGAACGTGGATGTGTATCAGGTCAGGTTGCAGCAGGAGCCATCCTCGATGCTGATTAGAAAGTGATGGTTCAGGGTGCAAGCAAGCATGTCCTGAACCTCCCTTTTGGATCCTGCAACCAGTTAGTATCATGGAGCTTTTGATCATAAATTGAGCAATTGCAATGTTTTAGACTTCATTTTCTCATCCCATTCAATGGACTTAGAAACTTCTTGATCATAAAAAAATCCAACTACTTTCAAGGAAAATTATTTTTGGACGTGTAAAGTGCATTTCTGAATCTTTTTTGCATTTGGCATTCACATTTAGCAGATCTTGTGAGCAGAAGTCGGAAAATAAATTAAAGCTTAAATACATCTAAGAGGAATAGTTTGAAACATCGGACAGAGTGTGTGTGTGTTTGTGTGTTGGTTTTTTGGAAGAAAATAATTGCTAGATATAATGTTCTGTACGAATATTTAGTATAACTTACGTCATATAGTAAATAAATTCTGGCTTTGATAATGGTATGGATATTTAGTATAACTTACGTCATATAGTAAATAAATTCTGGCTTTGATAATGGTATGGCGGGTTTGTGACTGGTTTGTTGGCTTTAAGGTTTAGTGCAATGGAGATATAGCTTCTGTTCTGTTTTATTGTCTTGGTCGAGGCTATCGGTAGTTGGGTTGTTTATTTCATTTGGTTTTGTAGTTGGGTTGTTTATTTCATTTGGTTTTGTTAAGGTTGTTCAGGTGCTTCCGTTGTGCATTGGCCTTTTGGTGTGGAGATTCTATTTCTATTAAATTGGCCAATATTTCGATGTTCTCCACTTGTCTCTTTTCTTCTTTTTTTTTTTATTTTTTATTTTATGACGTAAGAATCTGCAGCCGCTATACTCCACTTGTCTTCGTTGATTATATAGGTTGAAGGTCTTGCGTGCAGGGTGACGTATGCCATTTGTAGATTTATTCGATATCTGAAAGGATATATGAAGAAATCAATATATAGAGCTACGCTCCAAGAAGGAATCATTCTGAGTTGCATCTTCTGGGACCTCCAAAGGTATATACAATATTATGATTTTGTGTAGTGGGAATATTATTCTTCTCGCCGTGAGATCATAGTCTGATATGATTTTGTTTATATAATTATATATACATGTGCATAGGTATGATAGTTGGCAGTGACTATAGTGCTCTTGGTTATGAAATGGAATTTCCATAAACAATTTGAATATAGGTGACAGCCCAATATATGGGTTCCGGAGAACAGCTATAGGAATGAGCTGAGACCATCTCCAATCCACTCTAAAAAAATAGCAATTGCTCCAAGCCACCTTTCATATTTGCAATCATCACAGCTAAGCTGGGACCGCGAGGTCATGGGTTCAAACCTCGACGCCTCAGGTCACCTGCCACGCATAGTTAGCTTAGTGTACTAGGGTTTAGTTTGCAAGGTATTAGGTTCGGTTGAGGGTTTATTAAATATCCACTTTCGAGTAGCAGCTGTGAGTTTTCATGTCATAAAAAAAAAAAAAAAATTATCATAGATGACCTTTTCTTTTCTTTTTTTAAATTAAAAATTATATTTTTACTTGTTTATTTTATTTTTGTGATTTTTATTTTATTATTTATAAAATATTTTTTTATATTTATATTTTAATTTTATAATTAATATTAATATTATATTTAAACAAATGATATTATATAGTATTTTTATTCATGTTTTGTATAAATATTACTAATAATATTAAAATTTTAATTTATTTAATTGTAAAAAAAATTATTATTTGTATAATCAAAGAAAAAAAATATTAAATTAATTTATTAATATCTTATTTAAAATATTTTTATAAATTAAATATATAAAAATAATAAAATATTTAGTATTATTTATAAATTTTAAAAATTATAAAAAATAATATATAAAATAAAATATTTTTTAACCTCCAAAAATAAAGAGGGATTGGAGATGAGTCAGTCTAATATGCAAAGGAGATGTATGAAAATCTCATGCAAAAATAAAAAAAAATGTATTATAGGTCTTGAAAAATAGAGTTATGGTTGAAGATAGTCTAAACTTGGTGGTGTTAGAAAAGTTTAGAGCAAATACACTAGTCCAATTGTAGAGGCACTTTTTAATATTTTAGAGGTGATTTTTTCTTCTTCATTCACCCTCTCAAATCCATTGTTTTTTTGTCCAAAGTTCTCTTTTGTTGTTTCGATATGCACTTTTTGTCGAAGTGTAGGTTTCTTTAGTGATAGTTAGCTCTAATGGACTTATTCATTTTGGCCAAATTATGCTTAATCATAATTTAGTCTATAACTACTATTTCCTACGATTGTAATGTGTGTGCCTTTTTATATTTCAGTCAATAAGAGAGATATTTGGTTGCTCATTTGGACATAGGTCGATAGCTCTTATTAGCTTAACTATGTAATCCTTTTGTGTTCTATTTTTCTCGTTTGTGTTAGTGTGTGCAATCAGAATCTTATCAAGTGATATCAGAACAAGGTTATTTACACACAAGATTTTTTTTCAAAAACCGGCCAGATCCGTCAGAATAGTATTGCGTCAAATCTCATCAGAACCCTTCAGAACATGTCAGACCCGACAAAACGCGTCTGTCCGTAAAAAATGTGTCAGCTTGTCAGAATCGCGTCAGCGTTGATCCATTGGCAGCCCTGATCGCCGACAACATGCTGCAAATTCAACCTGACGCACCCCGCAAATGGGACAAAATTTCAGTTGGTGAAATATGCAAATCGAGGAGTTGCTTTGCTAGAAGGATTTAGATTTTCCCTTGATCGGAAGAAAACCTGAGAGGAAGGGTGAAGATGAATGGGCAATCATTGACAAGAAAGTCCTGTCTGTTTTCAGATTTACACTAGCTAAAGAAGTTGGATTCAATTCTTGAGGAGATTACCGCATATGGTTTAAGGCATACGTTGTCAAACATGTATAAGAAGGTCGAGCAAGGTATTTTTGATAAGACAGCTGGTGAATACCAGAATGAAAGAAGATACTTATGTTACTTCGCATATATATGACTTCAATACTATAATATCCCGGTTGTTGTAGGTGGATATTAAGTTTGCCGATAAGTTCAAGCTCTACTTTTGTTATCCTTATTACCTAAAAGTTGGTCAGGAAGTCACAACCGTTAGTAATTCAATTGGAACCTCTAACTTCACCCTTGAAGTCATTCGTGACTTAATAATATGTGATGATATACGGAGACGGAATTCTGGTGAAATTTCAAGCAAGAAAGGGGGAGTGACAAAGACGATCAAATTCCAGAAAAAGGAGTCAGTCAAAGCCAATGAAGAACATTCAATGTTGGAATTACAAAGAGTACGTGCACTTTAGAAATAAGTGCTTAAAACCACTAGAGAAAAAGAAAATGAATGCCACTACCGATAGCTTAGACGATGCCTTCATTTGTTGTGTTGAGAATTCAACTGAGTTGTAGATCATGGATTCTGGTGCATCATTCTATGTTACATTTAGCACGAAGACGATAAAAAATTTATGAGTAGGTAGCTTTGGTAAAGTTTGTTTGGTTAATAACGACTCTTTTGATATCATAGAGATGGGTGACATAGATATAAAGACCTCTTGGGGCACTATCTGGATGTTGAAGAATGTTAGAATAATCCAGTCTTAAGAAAATGCTTATCTCCATTAGGGAGCTAGATGATTAGGGATATAACATCACGTTTGGAGAAGGGCAATGGAGAGTCGTCAATGGCAATCTCGTAATTGCCAAAAGTAAGAAAATGGGTACTCTATACATGGCCGATGTCTCTAAAAATGAAACGAATGCAGTAACCAGCAAACAAAATCGTTTGTTTTGTTGCACCAACGACTTGTCCACAGGACCATAAAGAAAATAAAGATATTTCTCGCCAAAGAAAAACTTCCAGATCTTAAGATGGTGGATTTCAAGTTTTGTGAGCCCTGCGTGCTTGGCAAGAAGAAGGTCTTTTTTACAAAGACGAGCCAGACGTTGAAAGCTCAGAAGTTGGAATTGGTTCACTCTGATGTCTATGGATCAACACCAGTTTCTTCCCTTGGTGGATCGAATTACTACGTAACATTCATTGATGATTCAACACGTAAGGTATAGGTCTATTTTCTTTAAAAAAAAGTATGAAATATTTAATCTTTATAAGAAATGGAAGATTGTTGTTAAATTAGAAACTAACCTGAAGATAAAGTGTTTGAAATCAGATAATACAGGTGAATACATCAGCACATAGTTCACTGAGTATTATACTTAACACAGGATCCGGATTATCAAGATTGTCCCAGGCACTCCTCAGCGAAACAGAGTGGCAGAAATGATGAACATGACGCTGAATAAGAAAGCTAGAAGCATGAGATTAAATGGCGAACTTCCAAAGGCATTTTGGGCCGATGCAGTTAACACTATTGTTTATCTTATCAACCGAGGACCATCATTACCATTGGGTTTTTAAGATACATGAAGAAGAGATGGAAATGAGAAATAGTAAAGTATGAGCACTTTAAAGTGTTCAGATGCAATGCTTATGATTTGACGAAAGATAGTGACAAGTTAGATGCTAAAGCCAAAAAATACACCTTCATTGGATACGGATGAGACAACATGGGCTACTAGCTTTGGAACTTTGAAAGCAAAAAGGTTGTCAGAAGAAACCACGCTAAATACTCTTTACAATTCCAACATTAAATGTCCTTCCTTGGTTTTGATTGACTTTTCCTTCTCAAATTTGATTGACCTCTCCAGTTTTCCTTTTCTTTCTTGCTGCCTCACCTTTCATTGTTCAACAAAGCGCTTGAAGTTTCACTATAATTTTGTCTTCGTATATTCTCTCTTATGATTAAGTCATGAATGCTTTCAAAGTTGAGTTTAAAAGTTCCAATTGAACTACTAACGGTTGTGATTGTTCTTAACCAACTTTCAAGTAATGAGGAGAATAGGAATAGAGCCTAAACTTCATCGTCAAACTTAATATCCACCGAAAACAACCGGAATATTATAGTATTAAATTCATTTATATGAGAAGTAATTGGAAGTTGTTTTGGGGCCCTGATACGGCCTTATTTCATTATAGTATTCACCAACTGTCTTATCATAAATACTTTGTTGGAAGCAGACAACTTCTCGTACATATTTGACAATGTCTTTATCAACCCATATGTAGTATTCTCCTTCTGAATGTTGAACCCGACATTTTTTTCTAGTGTAAATCTGATAACAGACATGGCTTTCTTGTCAAGGATTGCCCATTCATCGTCGCTCAACATTTCGGATTTTCTTTCAGTCAAGGGCAAATCCAGATCCTTTTGGCAAAGCAAATCCTCGATTCGCATCTTCCACCAACCGAAATCTTGTCTGTCAAACTTATCAATTTTGGACTTTCCATCCTAAAAAATGAGTTAATCATACAACATGAATTCAATCATTTTTGGGATACATCGGGGTCGAATCTGCAGCATGCTATCAGCGATCAGGGCTACCAATGAATCATGATAGACTGTATGAATCTGTTTTGATGTTGTTTTAACATATTTGACACTGATGGATCTGACATATCTAACGGGTCTGATGCTGACGGGTCTGACGCATTCTGACAATCTGTTCTGACGGAGCTGGTCTGATCAGGTTGACGCATTCTGCTCTGACGCTGTCTGTTCTGACTGTGGCGGCTGATCTTGAACAAACAGGTATATATGACTCATGTGAATAACCTTGCTTTGATACCACTTGTTAGGATTAAATTATATACACAAACAAGAAAACATAACACAAAGGATTACGTAGATAAATCAATAAGAGTTATGAACCTACGTTCAAGGGGCAACTAAGAATCTCTTTTATTACTGCAATATGAGGAGACACAGACTTTTACAAGCTCTGGAGATAGTATTTGTAGACTAGACTACAATTAATCAAAATTTATACTACTTTCAGATTTTCGTTCAACGCATCAAAATGTGAATATGAATATAGAACATGAAATGGGAAGGTCTAAGGCTATTGCAAATGACAAAAAAATAAAGGGTAGATAACATTATGATGTTTAGAATTTTTTATAAAGAAAAAAAGAGAAGAGGACGATATTTTTTGTGAATGCAAGAGTTGTAAGAAAATATATAAAAGTGGAGGAAGAAAATATGGATCTTCTACATTGAGGCATCATATGAAAATATGCAAAAAGTTGAAATACCATGATATTGGTTAAATGAAGATTGATGTTGATGAGAAGCTGAAAAGTAAAAAGACTAATCCAAATATTGTGCGTGTGTTTATAGCTATTGTAGTTGTCAAGCATAATATGCCTTTTTCTTTTGTCAAATATGATGGTATCAAAAATCTTTTAAAGTATGCATTTCTCACTCTTCCTGTTATATCTAGAAGCACTGTTGTTTCTTATATTAATAAGTTGTATTTAAAAGAAAATGCTAAACTTAAAAGAAGTTTTAGCAACCATTCAACATTGCATTTGTTTAACTTTTGATGTGTGGACTGCATGTACGGGAAACAGTTATATTTGTTTGACTGCTCATTTTGTTGATGAAAAATTGGAAGTTGAATAGTAAGATATTAATTTTTGATCACTTTCCCCTCCACACACTGGACTTGAATAAGCTGCAAAAGTATTCGAATTTTTTAAAGAATAGGGAATTGAAGAAAAAATATTTTTTTTGACATTGGATAATGCATGAAGCAATGATACTACTATGCAGAGTATTTTGAGATATCAGCTCTCTGTGAATGACAATTTATTGTGTGGAGGTGAATTTTTTCACATTCGTTGTTTGGCTCACATATTGAATCTTATTATGCAAGATGATTTAAAAGTTGGTGCAGTAGCTTTGAGTAAAAGAATCTGTGAAATATGTTTAAGGTTCAGAAGGTCGGATGAAAGTATTTCAGGAGTGTGTGAGGGAAATTAAAGAAATTAATACTAATATTGGTTTGAGGAATGATGTATGCACTCGATAAAATTCAACGTACTTGATGTTGGATAATGCTATAAAGTACAAAAAGGCTTTTATTTCCCTCAAATTGAAAGACAGTTGATACAAATTAAGTCCTTCAAATGAGGAATGAAAAAAAGGTAAGAAGTTATGCAATTTTGTTGAGCCGTTACCAAGTTGATTTCTGGTTCATCTTATCCAACATTAAACTTGTACTTTATGCAAGTGTGGAAAATTAAATGTTTGTTAAAAAATAACTTGTCAAGTGATGATGCAATTATAAGTGGGATGTGTAAAATTATGATTGCACAATTTGACAAGTATTTGGATGATTATAATATTGTGCTTGCATTTGGAGCTGTTCTCGACCCAACCTTGGATAAAATTGCAATCGTTAGATTCTTTTTATTCAAAGGTTGAAAATGATTTTGTGAAATGTCAAGAAAATGTAAGACTTGTGAAAAATAAATTATATAAACTTTTTAAAGGTTATAATAATGTTATCAACTCAAGTTCATCACAACCTCAGTTGTCATCTTCTTTGCATACATCTCACATTAGAGAAGTCAGGGGAAAAAATAAAATGTTCTTTAGTGGAAGTACTCTATTATTATTATTATTATTTTCTTGCAGAATTTTTTTTTTTTTTTATGTACATATTTATTTGTTTAGTTTTGTACTTAATTTTGTAAATCAGACCACAATAAGTGCTGAAAAAAATTAATTGTGTTGGAATTAACGGAATAATATTATTTCTCAACTAAAATTAGGGTTACATCGTCGTGTATATACATATTGATATATCATCATAAATATAGACATATATATTACAATATATATCAACATCCCTCCTCAAACTCAAGGTGAGAGTGTGGAAACCAGCTTGAGTTTTCTCAAGAACGACTGAAAGCGGCCGGGTAAATGAGGCCTGGTGAAGCCCTCAACAGTCTAATCAGCAGAAGAAGTGGAGGACAAGGAGACGTTGCCGTTAGCAACGTGATGACAGACAAGGTGACAGTCGATCCCAATATATTTCGTACGCTCGTGAAAAACATCATTCGTCGAAATCTTCATGGCATTCAGACTGTCACAATGAATAGTGGTAGCAGAGGGCTGAGACACACCGAGAGCAGCCAATAGCCATTGAAGCCATAGAAGCTCGGTAGTGGTATCCGCAAGAGCTCGATACGCGGACTCCGCACTGGACCGAGAGACGACTATCTGTTTCTTGCTACGCCAAGAAATAAGTGAATCATCGATAAAGAAACAAAATCCAGTAGTCGAGCGACGATCGGTGGGATCTCCTGCCCAATCAGCATTAGAGTACCCAGTTAAAACCAAGGACGAGCGAGCTGAATAATGGAGACCATGAAGGAGAGTGTCTTTGACGTACTGAAGAATCCACAGAACAGCAGAGTAATGAGTCGTCCGAGGAGCGGACATGAACTGACTAACGATATGAACAGCATAGGCAATGTCAGGTCGAGTAACAATCAGATATATCAGGCTTCCCACCAGCTGACGATATAAGGTAGGATCGTCAAGAGGGACACCATCCATCGGAGTAAGGCGACAGTCAGACTCAAGAGGCGTAGGCGTGGTCTTAGAGTCAGTGAGACCTGCTCTAGATAGAAGGTCGGAGGCATACTTAGCTTGAGAAAGACAATACCCGTTGGAGATCTCAAGACCGAGAAAGTACCAAAGAGCCCCAAACTCTTCATTTCAAAGTTGCTGTGGAGATGATCCTGTAGTTCAGAGATGCCGGACTGATCATCTCCTGTGATGATCATGTCATCCACATAAAGTAACATAATAGTAACACCAGCAGACCCGCGTCAAGTGAATAAAGCAGAATCATGATAGCTGGAACTAAATCCAAGCTGGAGCATAGCAGAGCTAAATTTCGAAAACTAAGCTCGGGGTGCTTGTTTCAAACCGTATAGAGCACGATGAAGTTTACATACCTTGGACGACGTGGGAAAACTAGGAGGAAAAGACATGTAAATGTCCTCAGATAGATCACCATGCAGGAATGCATTCTTGACATCGAGCTGATGTAGAGGCCACCGCGAGTGGCAGCGATAGCTATAAGACAACGGATAGAGGTGAGACAAGCAACGGGGGCAAAGGTCTCCTCATAGTCGATACTATACTCCCGGGTGTAGCCTTTAGCTACCAAACGAGCCTTGTAGGCTCTATGGATCCATCATAATGTGTTTTGATACGGAATACCCACTTACAGCCGATAGGTTTCTTGCCTCGAGGAAAGATCAACCATATCCCACATGTGGGTTTTCTCCAAAGCTTGTAACTCCTCAGACATAGTCTGCAGCCACAACGGGTCCGTATATGCCTCACGAAAGGACCTGGGCTCATGGTGGGACAATGTGGCAGAGAAGCAGTGATAATCGAGTAAGTGAGTAGGGAGATGACTAACCCAAGTGGAATAGCGAGGGCCAGGATCAGGGTCCGAGGTCGAAGTAGTGTCAGGATCTGGTGGTGGTGACGGATCAGAGTCGGGAGTAGTGGTGGGCTCGGGGATCAGCGTCGGCTCAGGAGGCACAATCGGGACAGCGTCAGGAGCAGAGGACGGAGCCTTATCGTCGGAAGAAAATAGAGGTGGAGAGGACAAGGTAAAGAACGGAGACGAACGATCAAAGGGAACTCGAAATTTGGACAAGGTAGAGAACTTGGTATTTTCCAAATATATGAAATGACGAGAAATACATAACCTATTGGAAATAGGATCCCAACAACGATAACCCTTATGCTTTACCCAGTATCCCAAGAAGCAACACAAATGCGCGCGAGGTTCTAACTTGGTGTGCTCATGAGGAAGGAGGACGACGAAGCTGACACAACCAAAGGGGCGGAGAAGACTATAATCAGGGGCTCAATTAAATAGTCTTTCAAATGGACTGACATTACCCATGATAGAGGAAGGGAAAAAATTTATAGTGTAGACAGCAGTAAGTGCGGCTTCCCCCAAAAACTGAAGACTGACATCGTTTACAGTGGAGTTGACGACTCTGAGTAGGTGGTCGGGCGTTGACCGCAAGAACAGAATCAAGCGGAGGAGCCTTGGCGAGGTGAAGACGTGTTTCCTCAAAAATAATATCCTGAATAGCTGCATCCAATGTAGGAAGTGGGTGCCGATGTAACTAGGAGGCACGAACTGCCTCATACTCTGGACGCAAAGCCATCAAGATCTGAATGAGGCGAAGATGATCTGGACTTATCTCAATCTGGTCCAACCGATGCCAAAAAAGGTTGCACTTGCGCAAAAAAGTCGTTGACAGATTGTCCTGGTTCCTGTTTCATATTATGAAGTGTACTTCATAGTTGATAATAGTACGCCAAATCAGTAGCATGAAAGTGGACTGCCAAGAAATCTTACGCTGCCTTAGCAGTTTCAAATTAAGCAAGTTGCACATGTACCGTCGGAGTGGAAGTGTTGCACAACCAGGTAGGAATCTGATGGTTCTTACTGTCCCAATCCTCCAATTTTTCAATATATGATTCAACAGCTTTAGCGGTAGGCGCAACTTCTCCTATAGTGACCGGAGCAATATGAGCAACTATATCCCCTGTAATAACCCGCCATAACTTCCTACCTATCAAAAAACTTTTCATTGATTGTGTCCATAAATTATAATTATCCCCAGATAAAGTAATATTAATCAGAACATGGACATCCATCTTTTTCATATGAAAAGAGAAAGAAGCAACCACAAATAATATCTAACGGCGAAATTGCAAGATCAAAAGTAGCCGAAAAAAGCACGGACAGAGGATCGAGTCGGATCCAAAACCCAAAAGAACAGACGATCAAAAAATAGTGCTCAAATAGGAAAACAAATTATACCATGAGAGACAAAATCAAATTCCGAGAAAGACGCCGGAAAAAGCTCCGGCAGCCGCCGCCGCACGCGCCGTCACGTGCCGCCTAGGCGTCCGACGGTGAAACTTCGTCATGCACATGAGATCGCTATGCGCCGCCGTTCGCCGTGAAATTTCGGGTGCCGGACTGTCTCGCGGTGACGCATCTGGTGGTGGGGGCGGTGTCGATTGAGGATCGCCGGAAAGATGGATAACGGAAGGGGCAATGTGATTTGGTTATACGGGGAGAAATCGGGGCTTTGATACCATATTGGAATTAACGGAATAATATTATTTCTCAACTAAAATTAGGGTTACATCGTCATATATATATTGATATATTATCATAAATATAGATATATATTACAATATATATCAACAAATTGGATATCTATTAAGAAGAATGAACATTGGAGTATGATCAATATGAAGATATGAATGTGTTGGAATATTAGTAAGGTCAAAGTCATCGACATCCTGAGCTTGAATGACATGTGATATACTATCTATTCTCATTACAATAGTTGCATCTGAATCAACTTTCTCTATTGGTGGTCATATTTTCACAAAGTACAGAAGTTCTATGGTTCTTCGAAGAATTCAAACTTTGATTTGCACATGTAATTGGTAACATGGATTTTCTATTGGTAAGTTATATTATATTATAAATATTTAAATTAAATTGTTTTTGTTATATTTTTCTATATTACTCTGATTTATTTTATTCGTAGATGATATTGATGATGATGATGATGGAGGTGGTGATGACGATGATGATGATGATGATGATGATGATTGCATAAGGAATAAGACACCCATGTCAGACGTATGGTCTAATATATTGCATATTAGCGAAGATGAACACAAAGAAAATGAAGAGCATTTTAATAATGATATGATTGATTAATTTTAATTTTGAAAATATTATGTTTGCGCATTTGGATGTTGAAAATTGAAATTTTGCTATGAACTAATATATTATTTGTTTTGAAATATTTATTATTTGAATTCTATAATACAATTATTTTTTACTTAATTTTTAGATATTTAATTATAAAAATTAATAATTTTAATATTTGTAAAAGGTCTGGAGGTTGGCTCGCCACCCGTAATTGAGTTGGGTTGAGTTCATTAAATTTTAGACCGCCCCGGGTTGGCCCGCAAATAATCTGCTTATTTGCGGATTATAGTGGGTTATAGGTTAATCCGTCCCGTTAACCCATTTTGATAATTCTAAGCATAGACTGATTTTAATTTTTTGAAGGTAATTTTGTCATATATGGTTTGAATTCTTTCATTTTTTGTGTATGAATTTCTAGATATGATCTGGAGTGAATTTTTTATACTTGGGTTTCTTTTGTGATTCATATGTTCTTTGATTTTGGTAATTTGAAGTGATTTTAATGGTGAGTGTTTATCTTGAATTAAATTTTATTTTGTTACATTTTAGTTTTTTTCTTGAATAGGTTTTGAATTTCAGGTTATCTGGTAGTTTTGATTGCTATAAATATGGTGTTAGGATGCGTAGTATTTTTTGGGATTTGTATAATGAAGGTGTGGGAAGTGTCATCTCCGAAAGTGTGGGTGATAGAGATGAATGCGGTGCTAGACGCCAACATGAAAATGATGCAGTGATAGGGGTTTAAGTCACCCTCGTTGAAAATTGATGGTGTTTCTACACCAATGGCAGATTGATTGATTCATTGTTGGTGAGTAAATATATATATATATATATGTTTGAATTGTTTGTTTTGATTGATTAATTTGTTTAAGGAAAGGGGAAGGAAATAATTAACTTAATAGTAGTTATGAATTTGTAGGATGTGAATTGTTGTTATGCTGCTGCGTGCTATGATTTGATCTGCTTTGCTCATTCATTAATAATAATTTTATTTTAGCTCTCTTAGTTTTCAATATGATCATTTTGGTTTTGATTGAAAAAAATAAAAATAAAAATAGTCACATTGGTTTTTCGCAAGATCAAACTTCACTGAAGTCAATCTACGGTTCTCGGCTGATTGATGCAAGAGATCTACACCATAAGCAATTGCCAATCAGCGTAAACTCAAACTAGCATGTTGGCCCCCAAATACAATTGTTCCTAATTGATTCATGCCTTATTATGTCATGATAAGGCGATATCTTGATGAAACAAATTGTAGCTACGATATAATTCCAGCACATGAGAGGGACATTCACAAAGAAAAAGAAATATTAGTATGATTAACAAACACAAAACAACATGCATGATAAATGAAGTTGTTGAAAGAGTAAAAAAATTGCCGGTTGGTTTGTGCAGATGTGGTGTCGGGGTGTGGATAGCGAGATTGGAGATTGGGTAAGGTGTGAGAGAGAGGGTTGAGGAGACGGTGGAACGGATGATCGAATTCGAATGCATAGACAGAGAGGATAAATAAATGTGGGTAGAGGGGATTCAACATATGTTGCATTTGCAAATCGTTTGATAAAAATGTACATTGTGATAATCTATGTATGTATAAGTTATATTTCATGCCAAGATTGGTGTTTCCTTTGTATTATTTACATTATTATTTTACCAAATAAAAATAAATAAAAGAAGAAATTGGAATATTGATATCTTATGTAAAAAAAGTTTCATAAGTCATTGTTTATAAAAAAATTGCAAAGCCCGAACAACCTATTTTACAGCCTGAACACTT